TATTATAATACTAATTATAATATTATTTTAATTTATATTTTATTATTTTATTTTTATAGATTCACCTAAAAAGAGGCGTGCAGTTTCAATGGCAGCAGAACCACAAACAGGGGTGGTAGACAATGAAGAAGATGCATTAATGGCTTCCGCTCGTTCCGCTTCAGAAGTTCCTCGCAATAAAGTTGGAGTTAATGCTGCAGCACCATTAAGAAAATCTGCAAGTGGTGCAACATTTGCTAGATTACGAGTCACACCTGCAGTTGAAACAGCACCTGGCGAACCTCCCAGTCCTCGAGTACAAACTGAAGTTGATGCTTCTTACTGTTCCTATGATGTTACCAATCCAAAATATGTTGGCAATCAGAGTCCTGTGCGTTTAATGCTTCAGATTTATTAGATCCCAATTATAAGGAAATAGTTTTCATTTAAGTATTATCTTTGTGTTTATTCTCATAGGTTACGGAACAAAGAGAACCATTAAAAAGAGAACCACGAAGAAGAACAGAAGGACGTCAACAGACAAGAACTAATCGTGCTGCAATAAGAGACTATTCCATTACTCAATTTGCACAGATAGATGATGATAATGTATCGGCATTACAACAAGTAACTAAAGGTGGTGGTGGCTTGACACTGGCTTCTCAATGGAAGTCACAATTTGATGATTCTGAAGAGACTGATAATGAATGGAAAGGAGAAAATTTACAAAGTCCCGAACATAAAGGAATTACTATGCCAGTTATAGTTCCACAGGTAAAACTTTAAATATATTTTGTTATTGATTATGATTCAATCATCACTTGAGTTACAATTAAGAATTATGTAAAATGAATTTTTTATTATCTATTAAGAAATTTTCATGAACTTTATACATTATTATTATTACATATATATGAACACACTCACGCACGTATACAATTTTTTTTAATATATCCAATTACAAGTGTGTGTATTGATATTCTAGCTATCTGGCCCATATTGATGTCTTCCATTGATGCGCCTCTTACGTTCTACAATCGAATTGAGACTTCTTTATATATCATTATTAAGCTTTTTGTTTTTTTTCTGTATTTTGTATTTTTTTCTTTTTAACACTCGTTTTTTAACTTTGCGATATATTTATTTTTTGTGTTTTCGAGTAGAAATTAACTTTTCATCATTTCCTAATTTTATCAAATATTTTATCCTCCGCATTAACGGAAAAATATAACGAGATACACACACGTTTCTAGACAACGTGATATCTGTGTTCAAATAAAAAGCACATAGCGTTAGAAACGCATGCTTTATATTATATTAAAATAGATTAAAAAAAATATGATTGATCAAAAGATTATTGCGTATTCCATTTATATTCGTATTGTCTATTGTACAAACATTTGTCATTAGTTTGATTTGAAAAACGAATATTAAAATAAGATGCGAACATCAATTTGATTTTATAAAATTTCTACATACAGTCAACAGTTGGTAGTGATGCTGTAACTATCGCAACTTCAGTGCCTGCATCTATCGATGCGAAAACGACAGTGATCCAATCAACTATGTCAATCGCGCCTCAACATTCGATAATACCAACTGCTCTCTCTCGAATAAGTGAAGATTCTACAAAGCCTGCAGTTCCTCACAGGTGTTTAAACATTGCTGGTATTGAAAAATATCCAGATCTCCAAGGCGCGCTTCCTCGCGCTTGGAGTGTTCCTGCGTTGGCACCACATGTTCGTGCTTACCTCGAAGCACCATTGGTATATAATCAATTTATTTTTATATTTGAATTATATTAATTTAATATTAAATTTATGAATATTCATATATATATGAATACATATCGTTTTTTAATATTAGGTTCAACAAGCTGCATTCGATGATCTACTATATGAAGTTGATGTCATGAGAAATATAGCAACACGTTATGATGAACCGAGACAAAGTCCTCCGTTACGAAGGGCGAGCGTTCCAGCAGTTGCTTTTTCTCCACCCAACACAATACCTAGTACACCTGGAGGAGAAGAAGAAGAAGAAGCAGTAGCAGGAAGACTGGAAATTAGAGTAGTGGATGCAACAGGTGGTGCAACTGTTGTGCAAACCACTGCAGATAGAGAACCATTGCAAAGTAAATACATATATTCTTTTGAAAAATTACATTTCTGAAAAATAATATTAGAATATTATTATTCTGGTTTTCTTGATCATCATCATTATCATTATCATTATCATTATCATTATCATTTTTTTGATTGTACATTCATTTTCAATGCAATTTCATAGGAAAAATGACAAATGGTACAGTAGATAGTCCAGCTAGTCCAAAACCAGAAAGAGAAGAATCATCGATATTTGATACTGCTGAAAATCGAGCATCTGTCGATGATATTATGCATAAGGAAAACAGCACTATCACTGCCTCGACAACTATACCGAATATATTACCACTTCGTGAATATAAGGATGATAAAGAAAAGGAGGCTTCTAATAGGACTCATAATACAGTCAGTAAAATTCCAATTCCGGTTAAAAGTCCTAGATGTTCGTTATCGGAGTCAACTCCAGAAACGAATACACAAAATACCCGGAGTGGTATGGGGAATGAAATAGAAAAATCATCTACACCTGTGGCTATAACCAGGGAAAAAGATGCTAGTTAGTAAGATTTTTTTTTAGCTTATACTGTAATTTTATAATTCTATCTTTTTGAATTCAAATGTGATGTTTAACATTGTACGGATCTGATTTTACGAATCTCACGAGTTTAAGCTTTGAAATTGATAAGTGATAAGTTTGAACTGTTTGAGTGAAATGTATTCTCTGATGCTTATTATTTAAACATTTGTTACGGTAAAATTTACGGTAAAAAACTAAAAAACATTGTTCAATTTTTAATTTGAACTTCGTATGCAATGACATATGCGATTTTGTGAAGATATATATCAAAATTTTAAGAAAAGATCATTTTTCGTAGAGATTATAATGAAAAATAATTATAAAAAACGTATTTACAATCATCAGTTTAAAAAATTGTAGTTTTAAAGTAATTATTGCATTCAACTTGTTATAAATTATTTAATCACAATTTTTTTTTCTTCTTCTCTTTTCTATAAAAGAGTCCAATATGCCACAGTATCATTATCATTCAAAAATTATACATCTTTTCTTTAAATATTTCTTTTCACTTTTCAACATTTTTATGTACTCGTGCGCTTCTGTGCGTGTGTGTGCGTGCGTGTGTGTGTGTGTGTGCACATATTCGTTATTCAGCAAATATATGATGAAGATTTTAAAAGCACACACATTATTAAGCAAAAAAGATTTTAAGCAAAAGAGGATAAGGGAGGGAAAGGAAATGGAAAATTGTATTTTTCGCGTTTTGGACGCCAATTTATCACGATTAAAATTGAGCACAGCTTCTTAGCGATACTAATATTGCCAAATTTTAGCTGTCAAAGGCAAACGCTTGACAGTGGAGGTATTGCGACGCTGCTTGGCATTACCTGATGAATCATCGATCTTTTCATCTTTAACGGCTAATTCGACAGAAGATGAAAATTTAACTGGATGTACTCCTGCGTTACGTCGTCGAAGACAAAGCGAAAAATACGTGACCGATGCCAGTCAACTAAACTTGCGATTTCAAAGACCGCAACGCAGGATCAGATCTCATTCTGAAGTATTATCTAAATTTTCTCCTAGAGGAGTACCTTCGCATCTTTTGGCAGAAACGGCTAAACGAACTGATGAAAGTAGCGATAATGATTCTGATAACAGTGGTCCACCAAATGCTCAACCTCCACCACCACCTACATCTTTGCCACCACATGTTGCAGAAAATAATGCTAGGTATATAAACTTTTTTCTTTTACATATAAAATAATTCAATCAATCATTTTAATTATCAAATTGTTAATTTATTTTTATTATAGATGTCGCAGGTTTCGACCTATATCAGATGGGACAATAATCAGTAAAGAATGGTGAGATACAACATGAAAGATGAATTCAAGTATTTGTTTGTATCAACAATTAACAGACATTTGCGATCTATTCATTCGGATGTATGGAATCCTTCTTTACGCGTGAGAGAAGACAAGAAAGTAATATTAATTACAATGATTTAATTCAAAATGTCACATACAGTTTGTTAACTTTTCTGTGTAGGGAAAGCATAAAAAAATCTTATATGAGAAACTATTGCTTTCTTAGATAAAGCAATTTTGGTAAAGTGCTAAACGTTACAGCAAAATGAGTATGAGTTGAAGAAATATAATGGAATCTGCATGACAAGTGAGTTAGAAATTCTTCTAGATCAAACTATTCACAAATGTATATTTGATTCAGCTGTAAGACTCTGTTAAAAATATTATATGAATTGGTGGTGCTTCAAAGAATGTACTTCCTAGTCTAGAAAGGTATGTGACGATATGATAAAACTCATTGAATAATTATTAAGACAGAATTGAAAATAGAAACGGATTTTTCATAAGAAAAAAGGAAAGAAATATTTTTATTTGAAATGACTATCTCTCTCTTTTCTCAATCATTGCTCTAATTATTATTCCATTATCATTATTATTATCATCAATACCATTATCATGATCATTATCTTCTTTTTCTTCTTCTACTTATTATTATTCCTTATCTTACTCGTCTTCCCTTTTTCATTTTTTCAAATACATAGTTTCTTCCACAGAAGGTTCCTTATTTTCTAAATATTCCAATCTTACTATTTTTTGCACTTTAGAAAAAACTATATTGTGAAATTTTATTTTATTTTTTCAATATAAACAAAGATTGTGAGTGTTATATTAATTATGGTAAAAACGAAGATTCATATGTGTGGACAAATTATTGAAAATATTTTTTTTACATTATTTTACGATTGAACAATTTATTTATTGAGTTATTTTATAATTAAATAAAAATTTTTCTAGTATTTTTCTTATAAAAACAATATATAATGATTAGAATTAATATTAAAAATATTAAAAATGATATGAATTATTATACCATATTTATTTTAAATAGCAGTTTTATATGAATTTTTTTTAATTATATCATAATAACGGTATTCTTTGAAAAACCACCATTACGATTAATAAAAGTTAGTAAAAAACAATTGTTAACATAAAGATAACAATGATAATTGTTAACATAAAAGTTCTTGAGCAAATGTATATCTCATCCGAATTATCTTTTTATGATATGTAACGTATTAGCGATTTGCTTATATTAAAGCTATCGCGAGAGATAGTTAAATTCAGTTAAGAGATCACGATTTACCACTTGTCAATATAAGGAAGCCTTCAATTGGATGAAAACATTTTATCATCAAGATTTAAGCGATGAAAAAACATGTACGAATGAATAATTACTCAGAAGAGAATGTGTAGTTAGATTACATATAATCACGCGTATTTGTCTTGCACTTCCCAATAACGCGATTTTTCCAAACAGTTATAAATCCGCAATCGAAACAAACATAGTGATGCGTAAAACTAGTCAAGTAGAATCCTTTAGCATTCTATTAATGAAACCAAATTTGCGTATAGAATTATAAATATTATACTTGTACAAAATAGTTTAGGATTTATTTTGTGCAATGATCGAAATAACGTTAAAGATACGATATGATAGATAGCTTTAAGTTGACGTCGCGGAAGTCGTTTCGCGGTATGAAAATAGGTGTGCAGTATGCGCGAGTAAAAACTACGTAACGAAACTATCGTAGAACAAAATGAGAAATGGAGTGATGCGAGTCTATACGAGTGCTTATTAATTGTATACGTATAAACGCGAATGCAATACGTATGTTATTATATTTGTCCGTGCGCTCGTGTTTTGAAATTTAAAACAAATTTATCCGAAATTTTTTGTGAAAATGTACGTAACAATAGGAATGGGCCAGCAATGAATACTTTGTAAATCGGTAATGAATTTGTAATCAAAGATCAAGTGTACGTTTGAATGTAAACAAACACGCATAATACAGCTGGATGTATCTCTAATCTAGTATATTTGGATGTATCTTCAATCTATAGTGAAAAAATATCGTAAGTTACTTAACTACATAATTCATCTAAAAAGTTTGCACTCTTAGAACAATAAAGAAACAGTGTTTTGTTTTTAAAAGTACATAAATAGAATTTATCATTGATGCATTATTTAAGCGAAAGCAAATTTGATTAAAATTCAAAGAACCGTAAAGCACATTTAAAAAATATAAATCTCGCGCATAACTGTTACACGCATCTTTTCCATATAAAAAAAACATTTTCCATAGATGTCAACATATTCTTTGATTTACTTTGTAAGTTTTAATGGATTACAAGGAGAAATAAATGACATGTAATAAAATTATCAATATATAGTTATATTTTCGAAATTAATAGATATAATTACATATATAAAATATTTGTTTAATGATAATTGGCAGCAAAAATTTATAATTTCGTCACAAATAAAAAATAAAATTACAATTTGGCGAATAAAAATTATTTTTATATTAATTTTAAATAGTATTTGAAAAATAAATAATTAATCTAAATTTAAATAATTATGTTATTATATTACAATTGTAGGTTATTGAAATAACCTATAATTTTGGTGTTCATGTATGTATTTAGTTTGCACTCTTAGAACAATAAAGAAACAGTGTTTTGTTTTTAAAAGTACATAAATAGAATTTATCATTGATGCATTATTTAAGCGAAAGCAAATTTGATTAAAATTCAAAGAACCGTAAAGCACATTTAAAAAATATAAATCTCGCGCATAACTGTTACACGCATCTTTTCCATATAAAAAAAACATTTTCCATAGATGTCAACATATTCTTTGATTTACTTTGTAAGTTTTAATGGATTACAAGGAGAAATAAATGACATGTAATAAAATTATCAATATATAGTTATATTTTCGAAATTAATAGATATAATTACATATATAAAATATTTGTTTAATGATAATTGGCAGCAAAAATTTATAATTTCGTCACAAATAAAAAATAAAATTACAATTTGGCGAATAAAAATTATTTTTATATTAATTTTAAATAGTATTTGAAAAATAAATAATTAATCTAAATTTAAATAATTATGTTATTATATTACAATTGTAGGTTATTGAAATAACCTATAATTTTGGTGTTCATGTATGTATTTATATATTTCGATATTAATACAAATATCTATATTAATATACTATCTATATTAATCATTTTTGAGTATTGTATATTGTTAACTGCTTTTTATTTAATAATAAATAATTAATTTAAATTTAATAATTATATTGTTATATTACAATTATAAATCATTGAAATAACCTATAATTTTGATGTTCATGATTTGTATATTTCGATATTAATACAAATATCTATATTAATATACTATCTATATTAATCATTTTTGAGTATTGTATATTGTTAACTGCTTTTTATTTAATAATAAATAATTAATTTAAATTTAATAATTATATTGTTATATTACAATTATAAATCATTGAAATAACCTATAATTTTGATGTTCATGATTTGTATATTTCGATATTAATACAAGTATATATCTATATTGACTTTACTTTTGAATATTATATAATTATATATATTTGTTAATTATTTTTTATTCATTTTATTATATATATATCTTTATAAGAAATATGAATGAACATAAAACAATATACTGATTTTTGTTTTTCTTAAAATTTACAAACGTTTAAATACAAAATACTTCAGAAAATTTAGTAATATCTGATAATATTATTATTATTAATGTATATTAGATATCTATTTAATAAATCTATTTTTATTTTATTTTAATTTCATTACTAGTTACTTTTTATAAACTAGTTGTTCTAGTTATTTAGATATTATTTATTTTTATTTATTTATTATTTTTAGTTATTTTGAAATTATCGTATTATTATTTATTGATTAAGAAATGTTATTCTTTTAATAAATAAATAATTTAATTTAATAAATATTAATCTGAAAAAATATTGATAAATTCTATTTAATTTAATTCAAATCAATTACATTAAATTTATTAAATTTACATTAAATCATTTAATATTAATTATTAATTAAATAATAAATATTAATTGAATAAAAAAGTTGATAATAGAATTATCAAATATGTAAATACAATGAAAAAAATTTTTAAATATTACTAAACGTTTCAAAAATCATAAATTGAATATATATATGTATATATGTATATATACATCAAATGACAATATGTAATATAACCTCTTTTTTAGTAGCAGTAAAAGGTAAGAAAAAATATTAATGAATAAAGGAATTGAAAAATACTCGATGTTGAAATAGAAGTTTTATTAAAATATTATTATAACTAATAAGATAAATTATAAATATAAAATAATAGTGAAATATATACAATATATTTTTATTTCAGAAAATGCTATCTTTGATTAGATATCTAAATAATCGTAAATTTTTGAGTCTTATTTGTATTCCTATTGCTGCTGTTGGATACTATATAGAAGGACTTCTATCTGATCGTTATACACCTCCAACTGCACCAATAATGGAGCAACGTGAAGAAAGATTATTAGCCAATATGAATTCTATGCCTGATGAAAAAAGGCATTCTCCATTGGAAATTAATCTTCCACCATCATTATCTGTATAATTATTAGTATAAACTAAGTATATAATCAGAAAAATGTATAATATAAAGAAAAAATTTAGTTCCAATCATATAAAATCAAAAATATAATTTTAATATGATTATTATATTTTATTAATATGATTTAATAAAAATTAGTACAATAATTAATTTTATCGATAAGAATTAAGTTATGAAAAAATTGGTATATTTTTTAAACGATTATTCCAAATTTGTATACAACAGTATGGTGATAAACTTTTCCAGGTTCAAGTATACTATTAGGAAAATTTTCCTACAAATAATATAAAAGTATTAGTTTGAAATATCTGTAAATTTTAATTAAATCGTCTGTCAACAGTCTGGTCTGTTTTAAATTTTAATAATAATATGTTTGTTTTTATATGTAATATATTTTTTAATATGTAAAATAATATTTCTGTACTTACATGATTAATCGCATTCGGATAATTTTGCGTTTCTAAACAGAACGCAGCATGTTTAAAATATTCGCTTCCATTCTTTCCTCGAACACCTGTACTATTAGATTCAGGAAGAAAGTTAGCGGTATAAAATTGTATTCCAGGTTGGTTTGAAAAAACTTTTAAATATCTGCCAGAAGTCGGATGTAAAACGGTAGCAACTAGATTTTTTTCATTTTCAGTATCGTTCATCGTTAAACAAAAATTATAATCGTAACCACCTCCTGGTACTTTATCAATGACATCTCCAAGTATGGTTGAGTTTCTCAAGTCCATTACAGAATCATCGACAGAACGAATTTCTCCAGTGGGAATACTTTCGGTATCGGTGACTGTCCAGTGATCCGCATTTATAGTAAATTGATGTTTATATAATTCACACGCGTTACCAGTCTGAAATTTATTCAATCAGAGGTAATTATAAGATGAATTATGATGTACTAAAAGAATAAATCTTGCATGTGAATGTTAACATTTAATGATAAAATTTTTCTACGTTTGAATGATAAAATAATAAATAAAATAATGAATTTTTAAATATTGGTTTACGAACATGACCAGCTAAATTGAAGTAACTATGATTAGTTAAGTTAATAGGAGTAGCTTTGGTAACGAAAACTTTCATTTCAATGCATAATTCTCCATCTTTGGTTAATTGAAAAATGACTGAAGCTATGGCATCTCCAGGATAACCTTCATCACCGTCTTCACTTAATAAAGACAATACAAGTTGATTATATTGAACATCCGCATGCCATATTTTTGAATTCCAACCCTTAGTACCACCATGAAGATGATTTTGTCTTTCATTCTTAGTTAAATGATATTTTTTCCCCTTTAGAGTAAATTCTCCTTTTTTTATACGATTCGCAACTCTTCCTATTGTCGCGCCAAAATATGGATTATAAGGCATCATATATTCTATAAAAAAAATTGGATTAAATATAATATTAATAAAATTAAATATATTTTTTATTTAAAACAAAAAAAATAAAAGAAGAAATAATAAAAAATGAAATTAAAAAAATTTCATACATATAAAACATATTTTAATTATTGTGTATATTACGTATTTTATCATTGTTTCATTAATATTATGAAAAATAAGTTAAATAATATAAAGATAGTTGGAAAAATTTAACTTATACCTTCTATGCTATCAAAACCCAAGACGATGTCTGCTATATTTCCATATTTATCTGGTATTCTGATAGATGTTATCGTCGCACCATACGTTATAATATCTACTTCTTGACCTACTTTGTTTTTTAAAGTATATTTTTCTATGCTTCGATTACCGATACATCCCCATTGTACAACAGATATTAACTCTTTACCGTCCGAATCCATAATCGATCTATGCAATACAAAATTAAATGAACTTATATACAATACAAAATGAAATGTACATGAAATTCGTTTAACTGAATCGAAACTAATACTCGACTTACATACATATGCTGCGCGATATTTCATGCGTATGTGTTATAATTGTGTTACGATTGAAGATTAAACTTAGATAGGATAATAAAGTATAAATATAATATAACTGAAAAAATTCAACAACAAAAGATTTGTAATAACAATCTTACATTCCAAGATTTTATGGTCTATCTATAATTTTATTGTTTTAACTTATTTATAACTTAATTTAAATGAATTCTGCGAATTGAAATTGGTTTGAATTAAATCTAGATAATTATAAAAAAATGAGACTCAATATCATGTAAATAATTTACAATTAATCTTACTTTCATGATTTGCTTTTTATGTTTATTTATAAAATTAAATATATTCTTACTTGAGTAATAGAAGAACTATTACGACTATATAATGAGGAAACTGCATTGACATAGCTACTAGCAATACCGTAACGAAGTTATTTAAACACTGGAACTTTTGAAAGGCTTGTCTTATATATATATTATAAATTTAAAAATCTTGTATCATGATATATATAAATTGTATATATTTTATTTTTACGTCTTAAAATTATTTCATCTAGGTAAAAGGTATATTAAAAATAGATATAAAAATTAGAAAAATGACAAGAGATGCAATTTATATGTTAAATATATATGTATAAAGTATAATACAACAATTATACAATTTTTATTTTTTTATTTAATTAATATGTCATATTATTTATATAATTTATATCACTATAAAAAAATTTATCTAATTAATCTTTTTTCTTTATCTTATAAAATACTGATTCGAACATATAAGCATATATATATATATACATATATATACATATATATTACTTACGTATATAAATGTTTACGAATACAATCATGCGAGAATTTTTTTATTCTATATCTTATATTGCAAAAATTTTCTAATAAACAAGTTGCTATGAATTTCAGATTCCCTCCTCCTCTCTCAATAGTATTATTGATTTGCTGTATTTTTCTAAATAAGAACAACATTTTTCTGTAATCTTAGTACTTGACATTTCTCTGATATCTGAAACAAAGGAAACTCTCATATTTATTATTTATCGAATAAATTAATAAATTTTATTATCATGGTTTGTTTTTAATGATTTCGTTTAGTTATTGAGATATGTTCTTTTTTTCACGATTATTGTTAAATAGTTTTGGAACAATTTTAAGATAAATAATTATATCGATGATGCAAAATTTTACAAATCTATAGATCAACGTTGTAATTCAATATTTTTCTTTTATTCGAGGTTACTGATTGTATCTATACGTATACACATGCATATTATGTATTCTAGTACTCGTGGAAAAAAACTGTACATATGAAAAAACTTTATTACGTACATAAAACTTACAATATATTAATTTATTGAATCAATTTATTAAAATTGATTTATTTAAATTTATTTTCTAATTTAATGTTTCAGATATGAAAAATTATAATTAATTTATTTTTAATAAATTTGAATTTTAATTATTAATATTTATTTTATTTATTATCTATATTATAAGTTTAATGATAAATATGTTATTAAATAATAAATATGAATATAATGCTCTTTTTAATTAATAAATAAGTTTTAACGATAAAGAAATATATATTAAATAATAGATATGAATACGATGTCCTTTTTTTTTATTGTTTTGTTTTTATTTTAATAAATAACAGAAATCAAGTCATTCTAAAAAAAAAACAGTTATTTTTATTAATATATAAATTTTTAAGAAGATATAATAATGTTTTAAAATCATGTTAATTGAAAGACAAAAAAAATAGAATAGATAATTTTCATACTTCAAAGTTATTTATTTCTGTATAGTTTTTTTTTCTTTTCTCTTTAATCAGTTTTTATAGTTATTTCTAAGAATATCTACTCATATTGTTTTATTAAAAAGTTAAAATTATTTCAATAACATAATTTTTCTAAAAATAAAATAAAATATTATATTTATAAAATAACATAAATTTAAAATAAAAAAAATGGATTTGGCTAAGATATTATATAAAATAATAATATATAAGATATAAATTAGATGGTTGTTTTTTTATAATCACAGGATTATGTATACAGGAATAAATTCATGAGATATTTTTGTAGGATTGATTCTGAGAAAAAATAAATACAAAAATTGATGTAAAAATGTTAATTGATTATTTATTAAGTTAAACCTATTTTAAATTTGCGTTAGATGAAACGAAACGAAGATAGAACGATGTTGCGTTATGTGATAGAAATAAAATTGTCTCTCGTTCTATCTCTATCTTGTTTCGTCTCATGCAAATTTAAATTTATAACTTAATAAATAAGTTTCAATCGATATTTTGTATACCAATTTTCGTATTTATTATGGCTTCTACAATCCATCCTTCAAGAAGAGATCCATGAATATATCAATTTTATATATATAAATAATATACAATGGAGTAAGAATGATAATGATGGTACAGTATAGAGGCGCTACCATCGTTTAAAACTAAAAAAGGAGTAGGAGATATCTGGATGCTATTGGTCGTGTATATTACGCATCGTAGTTTCCTTGAATTGTGTCGCATATTTGTGTCAATTTGTGCACGAATCAAGTTGTGTACGCTAAGGAGTTGTTTGTTCTTTGTTCTATAACCGCGTTCTAGTGTATTTGCAAGAGTCACGTAAGAAGTATACGTGAACAAAGTAAGCCTTTGACCATACGCAATTTGTGGACTAAAACTTTAATTTTCTTTTATGTGCTATAAGAATAAACATTAACTGTATTCCTATTTTGTTAGTATTGTTATTGATCATTATTCAATTACAGTTTTTATAAAAATTTGATTATTCAAATAAACCAAATCATTCGATTATCTTAATTTTTATACGTGGCACGCGACGGTGACTCAACCGTTGAAAGCAAACGTGAAGTACTTACAGCGCCAGTGAATTTCTACCATAATAGAACTTTTTCTTTAATACGTATCTGTTTCTCTCTCTTGTTCCTCTGTTTCCTTTTTTTATTATTCTTTATTTTTTTAATGGTATATGTATAATAGTATATTAAT